GTCAAGCCTCTCTAAAAAACACTTAAATATATATATATATATATATATATATATATATATATATATAAATAAATTAAATAAATATACACACACACACACAGGGCTCCAGACTAACATTTGAGAGTGGTGGCGCTGGACCTTAATTTGGTGGCACCAACCGTGGGGTGGGGTAAAAAAAAAAACACTGAAATTATGTCCAAACATGTTTAATGCATTAATGATCTCATTACAAATACAGATCATTTTCTAATTTATATACTCTCAATATATCTTTACCGTACTGTAATCAGTTAAACTCATTGCAAGTCTGTAAACTCATGTTAAGTAACTCGTTGCAATGAGTTTAACTGATTACAGTACGGTAAAGATATATTGAGAGTATATAAATTAGAAAATTATCTGTATTTGTAATGAGATCATTAATGCATTAAACATGTTTGGACATAATTTCAGTTTTTTTTACCCCACCCCACGGCTGGAGCCACCAAATTAAGGTCCAGCGCCACCACTCTCAAATGTTAGTCTGGAGCCCTGGGTAATAAAACACAAGACTACATTATATAACTCTAACAGTAGGCTATTTAATATCTGTTGTTCTCCGTTTGTCAGTCAGAATGACAGTTCTTGCCTGTATATACCCAAGCCAATTTATTATTCTTTCCTTTTTGTCTTAGTGTTTAAAATATTTATTTTGAAACAAATTAATGAATTAATTTCTTAATTAAACAAACAAACAGACTTACTGGGTCTACATACATACATATCATACCCTGCCATGTCCAGCTGATGCAAAGAATAGAATTTATATCTACACAGAAGAAAGCCCTGTCTAGACTCTGCCTCAGTATGAGCTGTGTCGAGCTATTCATAAGCCAGTTTGTTTGACAAAAAAATATTGAATGTAGTTGCAATAAATGTGTTAAGAATCCATAAAACTGCAGCAGTGGAGGACTATTATTCTGCTGTGTGATACTGCAGAAGAACTGATGATGGCACGGTTTGATCTTCGGCTGACCAATCAAATTAGTTGCAAGGAAATACAATATTTTTTTGATTTTTTTATTAATAATTATTGCAGCTAAATAGATGATTCCTGAGTTGCATGTTTGTTCTTTATTTCCTTCTTTTTTTGCTATATACTTTTGCTTTTGTAAAAGAAAACTAATGCTTGTAATGTTATGTATGCAATATATGTTTTGTTTCACATATTATATCTGAAAATAAAACTTATTAAAAAAAATACATATTTTTAGCCAAGTATTCACATAATACATCTCATAACCTTGCACTACAGTTTTATGTGATGAAATAAGTCATCTTTTGTCTGAAATAATATGAACAGCAGCTATGCTAATCTTTCTCCTTTTGTTTTCCTGTTTCTATCTCGGGATGCCCATCCCAAGGTTACTAGAGGTTACGCTAGCTCCAGATTGGATCCAGCCGCACTTGTGAAGACTTCAGATGACACCAACTGTACATGAACATACAAAACTGACAAATATTATCCTTATATTGCCTTTAAGGGTAAGTTTGACAATTTTCAACCCACTTTGTATTATTTCAACGTCTCTAATATCAGTAAATGAACTATATTTACTCTTTCTCTGAGTTATGTGTATCTATATATCCCCTTTTATTTGTAAGCAACACTCCGCAGGATGACGCAAAATGAAATGATGAGTTTTTACAAAATGACAAAAACACTTTTTGCAGCATCAAAATGACAAAATGCTGTGTTTTGCGTCATACAGCAGTTTTGCTGACAGATAAACCGGGTATCTCAGAGAAAGAATAAACATGGTTCTTTTACATATATTACCAACATTGTAACAATACAAAGTTGATTGAAAATTGTTGAGCTTACCCTTTAATAATGTTGAACGATAGTGTTCAACTGAATACATGACTAGAGACTTTAGTAAGATTTTATCAGAAAAGATTTTAGAATTTGTATCATATAATTTAAAACATTTTAACTGCTGTAATTACTGTTTGCTCGGTTTTTATTTTGTGTTTATGTAACTCTTGTATTATTGTAACTCAGTTTTTGCCATGAAGATAGTGTTAGATTATGATGTGGCAATAAAAATAAATAATTACTAGTACTGAACA